TAGAAGAAGAATCGGTATTGGAGATTTAGAAATAGAAACAGAAAGAATGAGTCTGAGAGAGTTAAATAGAAGTAGAATCGGTATTGGAGATTTAGAAATAGAAACAGAAAGAATGAGTCTGAGAGAGAGAGAGAGAGAGAAGAAGAATCGGTATTGGAGATTTAGAAATAGAAACAGAAAGAATGAGTCTGAGAGAGAGAGAGAGAAGAAGAATCGGTATTGGAGATTTAGAAATAGAAACAGAAAGAATGAGTCTGAGAGAGAGAGAGAATTAAAAAATCAAACAAGTGTTAAATAAAGACACCTGTAAGTAACATTGTGTGTGTGTGTCTCTATAGCGACGTGCGCGAGCACGAAGAAGAGAATTGATCCGGATATTATTCTGTTTCGTTGTTTCTTTAAAACTATGAAAGCGATACTTCGAACAGACTGTTGTATTTTATAAGAAAAATCAAATGAGTTACATATATATGTGGGAAACCGCAATAGATAACTGAACACTTCCTGCAAAAAAATATCAATACATAATGTTTTTTCTGTAGATCATTACAGAGATATTTGAAGTCCAAATCTTAGAGACGGCCTCGCAAATTTAATAAGACATGTAATAATTCCTATTGGATTTTCTTTCGTTTGAAATAAAAATAAATTGCTTGTTAAGTGCAAAGCTAAATAATGTGTTATATGTGCTGTCCCTACCACAGGTTTCGAAACCCGCCTTTTAGTGTTACGACCTTTCAGGTAATTGTAATAAATAAATAAAATGAAGTTCTAATGATACAATTAAAAACAAAAACCAAGTACTTCAAGAAAAGCATATTTTTTGACGTCGTTTAGTTTTAGGTTCATTACTAAAACTTCAACATATCGGTCATAGTACTACACTTGTTTTTGTTCAAACGTTTTCTTGGAGATTCAGAATCGTAATTAATTTACAAGAATATTTTGCTCTAGTTTTCAGTGTAAAAATGGCCAGGTGGTTAGGGCGCTCGACTCTGAGAGTCGCGGGTTCGAATCCCCGTTCTACCCAACATGCTGGCCCTTTCAGCCGTGGGGGCGTTATAATGTGACGGTCAATCTCACTATTCGTTAGTAAAAGAGTAGCCCAAGAGTTGGCGGTGGGTGATCATGACTAGCTGCCTTCTCTCTCTAGTCTTACACTGCTAAATTAGGGATGGCTAGCGCAGATAGCCCTCGTGTAGCTTTGCGCGAAATTAAAAAACAAACAAACAAACAGCGTAAAAATATGAAACAATCTAAAACGTTTCACAACTTTTACAATCATCGAACTACGTGTATCTGAATGAAGGTCAAAAGATTCCTTAAATATAGAAATATTTAAAAAAATTTATTGACTTCGCTTCATCAAATACACCGTTAAAATATAACAGTGTTAACAGC